AGCTCATCTCATTTCACCCTCTGCCATGGCAGGGACACCTTCCACCATCCCAGGTTGCTCCAAGCAGGATCCAACCTGGCCTTAAATATTTATTGGGATAGAAAAATATTTAAAATATATAAAATAAAAATATTACATCATTAATACTTTAATTAATTCAACATAGAGCAGGATTTATAATAATTTATAATATATATATGGTATGTATAATAATATACAATCTACATTGATCTATATCAAATATATACTATTTTTATATATAGTATACTATTTATATATTATACTATTTATATGGTATACTATATAGTCTACTTTATATACTATTATAAATATATTATACTATTTATATTATATATAATATAAATATTATATATTTTTATATATCTATACACTATTTATACCTAATATTAATATATTAGATTAATGTACTTTATAATATAATATGAATATTTAATTTAAATCTAAATTACATCTCCAAACCTATTCACATGCCTGTAAAACATGTGTGTGACCCAGGGGCACGGTGATTCCATGTGGGTGGATATTTGTGTTTGTACTTTGGCTTTTTTGGAGTCAGGATCGCTCCCTGCATTGTCAGCCTCAGAAAACAACAAATCCAGCCTGGATCTGGGATCCTGAAGGGTTTCCAGCCCCAGCTCCCACTCCCTCGCCCAAAACAGCCTTGTGACCAGCAAGGAATTTTATTTTTCTCGATATAAAATATATATAAAAATCACTTTATTATTTCCTCGGGGAATTCAGTAATTTTTCCTGCCACCACCATGAACATTCCTGAACAAAACCCAAAGGTGGCCTGGGATGAAGCTGTGCAGTGAGCTGGACACCGGGATCAGAGGGGTTGGGGATGTTTGGGAGGTGGAGAGGGACCTGCAGATGGACAAGGACCGAGGGCAAGGGAAAACCAAACCTAAGGAAGGGCAGAGATTCCCTCCAGTGCCCCAGGAGGGGTGTCCAGGGACAGAGAGGGGCTGGGATGGGTGTCCTGGGACAGGGATGGGTGTCCCTGGGACAGAGAGGGACAGGGATGGGTGTCACTGGGACAGGGGTGGGTGTCCAGGCACAGAGAGGGGCACAGGATGGGTGTCCCTGGGACAGGGATGGGTGTCCAGGGACAGAGAGGGACAAGGATGGGTGTCCTGAGACAGAGAGGGACAGGGGTGGGTGTCCTGGGACAGGGATGGGTGTCACTGGGACAGGGATGGGTGTCCCTGGGACAGAGAGGGACAGGGATGGGGGTCCTGGGACAGGGATGGGTGTCCCCAGGGCAGCAAGGGGACAGGGATGTGCCCAGACAATGCAGAGAATCCCACTGGAATCCGATGTGTGCATCCCCCTGCGGAGCTGGAGAAGGTCCTGGAGCAGTCCAGCCTTGGAACAAGAGCAGAGGAGCAGGAGAGTGGCCCTGGCTGAATCCCACATCCTCCTCAGGAAGGGAAGGAGCCCCCAAATGCCCATCCCTGAAAGGACAGAGGCAATGGCCTTTGTGGTGCTGTTCCAGATCCTCCTGCCCACACATGGTGCTTCCCCAGGCTGAGAAGAAACAGGAATTTTTTTTGCCTGGGGATGAGAGGAGCAGCAGAGCTGGAGATCATCCTCCAAGCCCTGCTCCAAGCTCGGTCAGGAAACACCCAGCAGAGCTGGGAATGCTGCAGGAGGGAGGGGCTGCAGTGCCTGATCACCCTTCGGACAGTTGTCCCCAGACTGTCCCTTCTGCCACCACCATGAAGCTCCAGTGTCACACACAGCCACGCTGAGCTGGGCTTGGGAAAACTGCAACTTGGGAAACTCTGCAAGACCCCTCCAAAGGTTTCATATCCTTAGGCAATTATTCCTTTTTAAAAATTATTATTTAAATATTATAATAGCTGCAGATGCCCTGAACATCCTAGACAACCTTTTAACTTCTAAAGAGTCCTAAGTAGGATTAGAAGCAATACAAATATCACAGAAATCTTCCTTTCCAGAGCTTTTCCTCCACAGCCTCCCAGGAATGAGCTTTCTTCCCAAACTGCCAAAAATAATAAAACCCAACTGCCCTTGAGGAAAAGCTGGACCTGGATGTCAGCTGCTGCTCCTCATCTCCCCTGGCTGACCCTGGGGCTGAGAGGGAAACGTGACCTTGGGGAAGGAGCAGAGCACCGGGCACGGCTCCATCCCGCGCCAGCATTCCCGGGGCTCGGGGAGGGATGGATGTTCCTACAAACCCCAGAGCCCTGCAGAGCCTCCCTGCCCCTGCAGAGCTCTCCTGCGAGCCCAGGGGAGGAGAGGAGCGCTCGGGGATGGTGAGAGACAGCGGGAAAGCGAAAGGGATGCGAAAAGGGAGGGGGAAATCCTCCCAGCAAGCAGGAGACAAAGCAAAAGCAGCTTTTCCCTGCAGAGGATCCCATCAGAGTCCTCCTGCCTCTCTCGGTGGCTCTCCAGTGAGGCTCACTTGGTGGAAGATCCAATTAAAGCTGGGCCACAAAAGGTCATTAATTAAAGCTGGGCCACAAAAGGTCATTTCCATGCAAGAGCCGACCCAGCAGCTCTTCCCCTTACGGAGATGGAGTCCGACTCTGTGACGTTGTGAAAAGTTTCTCCTGGAAGCTTTTCAAGCTGGTGGGATCATTCTTTGCCCAAAAATAAGCTGATCCATGGAAAATGAGCCCCAGAGAGTGTCAGGAGCAGCACAGGGACTTCCCTGCTGCAGTCAGTGCCACACTGGCACCCACCCATGGTGCCCCAGGAAGGGGCAGCACTTTTCAGCCTTTCCCTGCTCCCAAAGCACCCAGCACAAACATTCCCAAACCCAGGAGAATGAGGCACCCTGCTCTGGCTCTGTGGAACAGGGCAGAGGGCTGGTGGCAGGTTCAGAAGGAGATTCTGGGGCTCCTGGTCCTCCTCCTGCCCACTGGAAGAACCAAATTCCTCAGCAGCCCCAGGAACCAACACAAACCCCCCAAAATCTCACAAACCTCGTGCTGCCTTCAGCTCCAAACACCCCAAATCCCACCTGCCCAAGGCCTCTCCACTCGCCCAGGAGGGTCCCAGCAACCTCTGGAGCCTGGAAAAGCAGCACCCCCTAAACCAGCCTGTCCTGGAGCAGCACACGTGGACAGACTCATCCCTCTGCCATTAAATTCCTTTAAATGCTAGCAGCAAAACTGAGAGAGCAACCTTAAAAACGAAGAAGCCTTTCCAGGAGTTATGTTATGTTTAATAATATTTAATGACCTGTTGTGAGCCAGAGGCCTCCCAGTCCCTATTTAGCCATAATTTACAGCACCCTGTGAGCTGTGGACAGTGGAACAGGGAAAATCCTGGCAGCTCCAGCTGCTGCAAAGGGAAAGTGTCAGGGAAGGCTTGGGATGCCCAGGGAGCATTGTGGGCATTAAAAGGGTGCTCACCCTGCAAGCAGGGAGCCAGATCCTCTTTTAAAGCAGCCCAAGGGGTTTAAACTGATTTATTCCTGCAGCTCCTCAAAAGGCCACTATGTTAATTTGTAAAAACTTGGAATTTTATCCAGCAGCGGCAAATAAAAAAATGTTCTTTGGATACTGGTTTAAATCTAATAATGTTTAAAGAGGGGGCATTGCATGCTCAGACCCCTCTGTGCAGAGCCAGCCCCTCACAGGATTCTGAAGGAATAATTTTGGGTCCAGGATCACAATGCAGCATTTCCCACAAATGCAGTTTCCCTGAGCAGGGCTGGAAAATGCAGCTGTGATTAACACCACAAATCCACCACTCCTGCAGCTTTCCAGTGACCAAACAACACATCAACCCCTGCCAAGACACAGAGGTGACATTTCTATCACAGACTCTTTGAAATGAGATTTTCTTGTGATTCCAGATTTTCACCGTGCCTGGGTAACAAAGTCCTGCCCCGGCAGCAGCAATGAGAGCATTAATGTTATTTATGGTCAGTGTTATCCCCTTGTTCTGCTATCTACCATCCCACATCTGGGATCCCCCGGGTTCCTCCCCACCTCCTTTTGCTGCTCACATGCAGCTCATGCCCTCCCACACCTGCAGGTTCTTTTTTCATACACCTGGAGCAAGGAGTGGTGCCCAAGAATGAACTCAAAGTGTTGAAAAACAGCAAATGAAGGGGTAAAACTTAACCTTTCAAATTTCCAGTTAGTTCTTCAGGCCCCTTATTTAGTTCCTTCTCCAAGCCTTGGAATTTCAGATCTTTCCCCTCATTTTGCACACAAACACCCCCAAAGCCAAATCCTCCCCCAGCCAAGCCAAACCTCCAGCCCTGGTGAGCAGAGGAGCAAAATGCAGGAAAAGGGGGAGTGGGGATAAAGAAGTCCAAGCTCTGACCCACCCCAGTGCCTGATGCCAAAGCCAGACCCAAGCTGGGATGAGGGGATCCAAACCCTGGGGGTGGAAGCACCAGCAGGGACCAGGGGGAGCAGGGTAGGGCCCCCTTGGGGCTGGGAGCCACCAGGCACAGCAGGGCCTGCTCCAGGGACACTCTGGGATCCTGGGGCCACCATCATCCCTGAACCAGCCTGACCCAGCCCTGGCTTTGGTTTTGGGCAGGGAGAGGCTGCAAAGGGACTCTGTGGAGCTTGTGAAGGGGAAAATAAACCCAGGGAGCAACAGGAAAATGGAAGTTTCTGCCCTGCCTGGTATTTCTTGCTGCTCTCAGCAGTGAGGGATGGAGTTTGGAATCAAAGAAGAGCCCAGGGTGTTCGGTGTAGCTGGAAGACCCTGGGAGAGCAGGGAGGGGGGGCACGGCTCGCCCTGCAGCCCCTGCCCTGCGGGGATGTGACCCACGCGGGACAGGGTCCCCAGCAGGGCAGGGTTTGGGATTAGAGGGTTAACGAGAGCCCGGGAGGACGCACGTGACTGGCTGGGGGTTGGGGGTGTGCGGGCTGGGGGGGCTGCGGGCCGATCCCTCCCTCCCCATCACCCCCGTCCCCCTCCTCCCGGTCCCCCCGCACAAAATCCGCTCCCGCGGAGCGTCCCCGTCCCCTCCAACCTGCGCCATGGACACACCGGGCTGCCCGGCCTTGCCCCCGCCTCGCCGGCCCGGGGCTCCCCCGGGGCTCCCCCGGCCTCCCACCGCCTTCGCCCTCGGTGCTCCGGGGCCCCACCGGCGGCCGCCGCCGCTCAGCCCCCGGCCCGGCCGCTGCCCGCGGTACCCGGGGGTGCCCAGCCCGGGCCCCCCCGCCGTGGCCGTGCATGGGAAGCCCCCGTACCCGGCCGGGGCTGCAGGTACCGGGGAGCGGCGGGTGGATGGGGGGGCCGGGGCCGACCCCTCCAGGCCCCTTCTGCTTCTCTTCCCCCCTCTCGGGCTCCGCCGGGAGCCCCAGCCCTGACCCCCCCTTCCCCCCGAGGGTGTCATTGCTCTGACACCACCAACCCCCCCAGGGCTGCTCCGAGGCGGCGATGTCGCGATATGGCCCCGTCGGGGACGACCAGGGCGTCCCCCGACGGGAGCCGGAGCCGGGAAGGGTCGGTGCTGCCGAGAGTCGGCAGCTGGGGCCGTGTCGCGACAGAACCGGGGTCTCCCGTTCTTCAGAACCAAGGGGGGAAGGGGGAGAAAAAGCGGCGGGAGAGACCCGGCCCGGCTGCCACGACGGCGGGGACCGGCCCGGGCTGGGGAACGGCCGCGCTCCCGGGGGAGGCTGCAAAGTCGCGTCCGGCCGCCGACTCCGCTTTCCGGAGCCACCGGGCAGCACCGGCGGCAGAAACCGCGGTGCGGCCGCACGGACGGGCCCGGGGCTCCGGGACCTGCGGGAGGCCGGACTGCGGGGCTGGCAGCGCTGCCCGGTGCCCGCTCCGGAGCCCCAGCGCTGCCCGGTGCCCGCTCCGGAGCCCCAGCGCTGCCCGGTGCCCGCTCCGGAGCCCCCCGCTCCCGGTGCCCCTCTCCGGGGCAGTACCGCTCTCGTTCCCCGGACTGCGGCGCTCCCGGTTCCCCGGCTCTCCCCGGAGCTCCAGAGCACCCGGTTCCCCTCGGCCCGGGTGTCCCGGGGCTCCGTGGCCGCCCCCAGGCTCGGACAGGACCGAGCTCGTTCCGGGGCTTCTCCCGCCGCTCCTTTGCGCTCTCCCGGCCGGGCCCGTCGGGGGCTGCTCCGGGCTCCCACTTTCGCTTTAGTTTTATTCCCCCACTTCTGCTTTAAAAGAAGAAGCAAAAGGCAGAGCCGCGGGGGCGATGGGAACCAGGTGGGACCCGGCAAAGCCGCTTCGGGGAACAGGTAGAAAAAACCCCAAAAAGCCGGGAGGGAGCAGCGGGAGGGCCCCGCTGCAGCGTTTACCTGCTCCAGCCGCGGCAGGGGGATGCTGCCGACCCACGGGTGTTTCCTCCGGTTCCTGGGAGTCCTTTCCATGCCCCCATCCCTTCACTAATGATCCTTTGGAGTTCCTTCCCCTCCCCATTACCCCAGGAATTGTGCAGCTGTTTCCCAGCTGCCGCCTTCCCCAGTGCCGCCAAATCTTTCGGGGGGTGTCAGTTTAGGAAGGAGTGGGAGAAAAATATCTGGATCTTCCCTTTGTCCCCCGGTGCCGCTGTGTTTGTTTAGTTACGTGCCTGTATCCCGCTCCTTCCTGCCTTTTCCTTCTTTCTGGCCATTTATTTATTTGTCTCCAACACCAAAACCCGCGGGTCACTTGGAAATGCGCCGTGTTGCCTTTGAAAAAAGGGGGGGAAAAACCCCAAACTCGATGCTTTATGCAGCAGGATTTTACTTTGGTCCATTTTTTCTTAGTTTTGGTTATATCTGGGTCTGCTCTTTGGTGAGATTCGGTTTTGAATCATTAAAACCCTCCAGGCCAGCGGCTGAGCCCTTTGGAGGCCAGAGCAGGGAGGAAATGGCAATTCAGCCTCATTCCTTTGCCTTATCCATGACCAGACAGGTCGGTACTGAGAGGGACCAGGAGCAATCACCCCCCAAACCTCCCCCAAATTACAATTCCTCATTAATTCAAAGCAGCTGGATCAGAGCTTGGCGGCTCCATAGCCCCCAAATTGCCTTAATTAGAAAAGAATCAAAAATCCAAAGTGAAAGGCTGGAAAAGACCGTGGTGGGAGCTGCTCTGGGGAGCCCTGGGTGGCTCTGCAGGGATGGGGACCCCATTTCCCTGCTCTGCTGGGATGTGGTGGGGAGGAGGATCCATCCCAAAGGAGGCATTTCCCCTCCTGGCCCTCTGAGGTCTCACCTGCAGGAACCCCAAATCTGCAGCTGGGGACTGGGGTGGGATCAGGGCAAATCCAGCATTTTTAGATTGTCCTCTCCCCAGGTGACACCTCTGTGTCCCCTCAGCAGATGGGGGTACCCAAGGCACCCCTCCCCATCTGTTAATTCCTCGCTCACTTCCCCTTTCCCTGCCTCAGCCCATCGGGGACCCAACAGCACCCGGAATCTTTTGGAGCTGCCAAGCTCTGGGTGTCCCCATGTGGGGACAAACGACCCTCTGGGGGTACAGAGGTGGCCCCCAAAATGTGTGGCAGGGATTTTCCTCCTTTATCCCATTCCATCATCCACCCCAACAATGCAGCAGCACCAAAGGGAAGGGAGGACCCCCTCGATTTCTTGCTCTGGTCCCAGAGGAGGGTGAGCAAAGGGAGATTTCTTCAGCAGAAAAAGCAGGGTGGGAATTTTTCACTCCTTTCCAGTTTTCCTGGGAGCTGCAGCTCCAGGGAAGGGCTGGCTCAGGGGCACAGAGCCCCCTGAACGATCTGGGGCATGGGGGGCTGGATATGGCCCAGAGCTGGGGTGGGTTTGGGGTCACTGCTGGGCCCTGGGGCTCTGAGCTGGGCTGAGGCACCAGCCTGGGCAGGGAGGGAGTGGGAGGAGAGGAATGAGGAGAATGGAGCAGAACTGTCTGCAAAAAACCCCTGTGCCCCTGTCCTCTGCCCCATCCCCAGGCAGTCACAGCATCCCCGTGGGACCCTGAGCACCCACAGCTCCAGCCAGGCTGTCCCCACCCTCCAGGGGCTTTTCCTGCCCACAGCTCCTGCAGCAAGCGGGGATCGTGCCCTTCTCAGGGGCGGATTTTTGCCTTTCTCAGGGGGGGATTTTTGCCCTTCTCAGGGGAGGATTTTTGCCCTTCTCAGGGGGGGATTTTTGCCCTTCTCAGGAGTGGATTTTTTTCCCTCCTCAGGGATGGATTTTTTCCCTCCTCAGGGGTGGATTTTTGCCCTTGTCAGGGGTGGATTTTTGCCCTTGTCAGGGGTGGATTTTTGCCCTTCTCAGGGGGGATTTTTGCCCTTCTCAAGGGTGGATTTGCCCTTCTCAGGGGGGGATTTTTGCCCTTCTCAGGGGGGGATTTTTGCCCTTCTCAAGGGCGGATTTTTGCCCTTCTCAGGGGCGGATTTTTGCCCTTCTCAGGGGGGATTTGCCCTGCTGCATGTCCATGCTGAGCCCTTTCTCCTGAGACACTACTATGACATCCCCCGGGATGGTCTGGGATGGGATGAGAACAGGGATGAGAACAGGGATGGGATGGGATGAGAACAGGGATGGGATGAGAACAGGGATGGGATGGGATGGGATGGGATGGGATGGGATGAGAACAGGGATGGGATGGGATGCCAGGGCTGTGGCACAGCCTGTTCTGGGCTTCCTTGGCACTGTTAACACCCCCTGGTGCTGTGCCTCTCCCCCCCAGGTGAGAAGGGCTGCAAAGGTGGCTTCCAGGCCATTCCCACAGCCTGCAGGATCCCCCCAAAAGCTCCCGAGGACTTGGGGTGCCCACTGGCCGCACCCCTGGGCAGCCTCCGGGATTATGGGATCCCTGAGCTCCCCGAGCCCCTGGGCAAGAGCAAGAGCAAGAAGAGGAGGAACAGGACGACCTTCAGCACGTTCCAGCTGGAGGAGCTGGAGAAGGTTTTCCAGAAGACGCATTATCCCGATGTGTACGCCCGGGAGCAGCTGGCGCTGCGCACGGACCTGACCGAGGCCAGGGTGCAGGTATGGGCACAGAGGGATGGGCATGGCCACCCTGGGGCTGCCAGGAATGGGCAGGTTGTCCTGTCTGCAAGGTGGTGCTGAGATAGAAGCTGATTTCCCATGAAAATGTGAAATCCCAGATGGAAAATCTCAGGCTCTGCACCCTCTGCTGTGGTTGGGTGTTGGTTGTCTCTGAACCCTCTGCACTCCCCCCCTTGGACAAGCACCCAAAGGGTGGAAAGAGCCAAAATTTGGTCAGCCACCCCCCTCAGAATGCCCTAATCATGATGGCCTCCATGCATTTATCATTCCCAGCTGGGGAGAGGAACCCCGGGAGCTCCCATGGGTGGGGCTGGGGTGGCACATCCTGGACCTGGGGCAGGGTGAGGCCGACCCTCCCTCCCCAGCTCCGCTGTCCCCGTGTGGTTTGAGGTTCCAGGTGGGAAGAGGCAGCTGCAGGGGGCTCCCAGCAGGGAGGAAATGAAGGTGGAGGGTGAGGAAGTGAGCAGGGAGCAGCCGCTGGGAGCTGCCATCCCCAGGAGCAGGAATTGGGGACACGGCACAGGCAGGGCGAGTGTCCCCAGGAGCCCACGGGAGCCTCCAAACCCAGATTTGGGGTGGATTGAGATGAATCCACCCGGAGCCATGAGAGCCTCAGGCCAAGTGTCCCGGCAGCGCATCCTCCTCTTCGGGAGCTGTCCCCACCCCAGCACAGAGGGGACACGCAGACGGGACACCAGCACCCAAAAAGCCTCATTCTGCAACAAAACCTGGGATAAACAATCCCAGAAGCAGCAGGGAGGCGAAAGGGGAGCAGGACGGATCATTTTTGGTGCGGGACAAGATATTCCAGGTGTTGGTAAAGGTCAGGGAGCTCCAGCGCAGAGCAGCTTCCCTTGCTCGGCCCCTCCTGCTGCTGGGAGGAGCGCAGAGCTCGGCAGGAGCCGCAGTGGGCAGGGGAAGGGTCCCCACCCCTCAGCCCCCCCCCTCCATCCCCAGGTTTGGTTCCAGAACCGCCGGGCCAAGTGGCGGAAACGGGAACGCTACGGGAAAATCCAGGAGGTGAGAGAGAGATGGCTCGGGAGCTGCTCCGGCCCTGCGTGCCCCCATTGCCGGGGGAGGGGTCCCGCCAAAGCACTGGGGGTGCCCCACATCCCCCATTCCTGCTCCCCCCACATCCCCCATTCCTGCCCTTTCTGCCCCACATCCCCCATTCCTGCTCCCCCCCACATTCCCATTCCTGCTCCCCCCCCACATTCCCATTCCTGCTCCCCCCCACATCCCCCATTCCTGCTCCCCCCACATCCCCCATTCCTGCTCCCCCCCATATTCCCATTCCTGCCCTTTCTCCCCCACATCTCCCATTCCTGCCCTTTCTGCCCCACATCCCCCATTCCTGCTCCCCCCACATCTCCCATTCCTGCCCTTTCTCCCCCACATCCCCCATTCCTGCTCCCCCCACATCCCCCATTCCTGCCCTTTCTGCCCCACATCCCCCATTCCTGCTCCCCCCAACATTCCCATTCCTGCCCCTTCTCCCCCACATCCCCCATTCCTGCTCCTCCCCGCATCCCCCATTCCTGGTCCCCCCCACATTCCCATTCCTGCCCTTTCTGCCCCACATCTCCCATTCCTGCCCCTTCTCCCCCACATCCCCCATTCCTGCTCCCCCCCACATCCCCCATTCCTGCTCCCCCCCACATCTCCCATTCCTGCCCTTTCTGCCCCACATCCCCCATTCCTGCTCCCCCCCACATTCCCATTCCTGTTCCCCCCACATCCCCCATTCCTGCTCCCCCCACATCTCCCATTCCTGCCCTTTCTGCCCCACATCTCCCATTCCTGCCCTTTCTGCCCCACATCCCCCATTCCTGCCCCTTCTCCCCCACATCCCCCATTCCTGCTCCCCCCCACATTCCCATTCCTGCCCTTTCTGCCCCACATTCCCCATTCCTGCTCCCCCCCACATCCCCCATTCCTGCCCTTTCTGCCCCACATCTCCCATTCCTGCCCTTTCTCCCCCACATCCCCCATTCCTGCCCTTTCTCCCCCACATCCCCCATTCCTGCTCCCCCCCATATTCCCATTCCTGCCCTTTCTCCCCCACATCTCCCATTCCTGCCCTTTCTCCTCCACATCACCCATTCCTGCCTCTTCTTCCCCCCGGTTTTCCCCACCCTTGGGAGAAGTTTGGCCCGGGATGGAAAAGAGGGAGGATTGCATTTTGCCACATGCTGCTTTATGTCCCACTCCATTGCCCTTTGGGGCAGGTTTTGGGGTCCTCCTCCTCAAGATCCCCTTTCGCTCTCTCTGTGCTTCCTGCCCCTTTTTCTACAAAGCTGCCTTTTCCCCCTTCGTATTGAAAAGCATAAAAATAATTTCAATAATTTAAAACTCAGCTTCACGCACATCCCTGAAGCCAAATTTTCCCGCGGGGGAGGAATAATTCAAGCAGGATTCAACCCCCCCAAGGGCAGAAAACAGAGCAAAGGCATCGCTCCCTCTGTACCCTGAAGGGGGATGAGGGGAATCCAACAGGGGTGGGATAAGAGGAATCCTGAAGGGGGGCAGAATGGGGGAAAACTGGACAGGGTGTGATGTCCCCACCCTCACTTTGCCCTTTTTGTTGTTATTATTTCAGCTACAGAACAACCTGTGGCCGAGCCCTGGGAGCCCCCCGGGGCTGCTGCCCCCCGAGCCCATCCCGTCCCCCTGCATGTCCCCGTACCCCCCCGCTGCCAGCAACGGCTTCGTGGGCATCCCTGCATCCCCGGGCCCCCACCCTGGCATCAACAGCCTCTACCCCCTGCACGGGCTGCCCCCGCCGGGGCTGGCCCCGCACCCCTTCGAGCCCGCCCAGCACGAGTACAAAGCTGCCCCGCTGATGGCGCTGAGGATGAAGAGCAAAGAGGGCGCCGGGAGCCTCCTGAACTGGGCCACATGATCCCCAAGGGGATGGACGCGGATCCCTGCTCCCCCCGGGGTGTGTCCCCCACCCCAGGCAGGGGGGTCAGGGTGGTGGGGTCACCTTCAGCCCCTCCTTGCACCCCCTGAGCTTCCCCTGCATCCAGCGCTGCCCTCACCCCGCTGAGAGGGGCTGGGGGGGCTGTGGGGAGGAAAAGAGGAGCCCCCAAAGCCAGGCTGCCCCACCGGCAGCTCGGAAATGGCTCCCCCAATTTCCTGAGCCCTCCCAGCACCTTCAGGACTGGGTTGGATGGAAATTCCTGGTGCTTTCCCCACCCCCTGTGTGTGCCGGGCACTGGGTGAGGCTGTGGAGCACCAGGGCAGCAGAATTTTGGGGGCAATTCTCCCCTCCCCAGCTGAAATTTGGCCGCTCACCCCCCTGCCCAGCAATGGCAGCAATTGGGCTCTTCCTCTCCCAGTCCCATACTGGGAAGACCCCAGGCAGGGGGGTCAGGGTGGTGGGGTCACCTTCACCCCCTCAGCTTCCCCTGTATCCAGCGCTGCCCTCACCCCGCTGAGAGGGGCTGGGGGGGCTGTGGGGAGGAAAAGAGGAGCCCCCAAAGCCAGGCTGCCCCACCGGCAGCTCGGAAATGGCTCCCCCAACTTCCTGAGCCCACCCAGCACCTTCAGGACTGGGTTGGATGGAGATTCCCGGTGCTTTCCCCACCCCCTGTGTGTGCTGGGCACTGCCAGCCCTGGGTGGGGCTGTGGAGCACCAGGGCAGCAGAATTTTGGGGGCAATTCTCCCCTCCCCAGCTGAAATTTGGCCGCTCACCCCCTGCCCAGCAATGGCAGCAATTGGGCTCTTCCTCTCCCAGTCCCATACTGGGAAGACTGGGCTGGGACAGCTGCTGGTACTGGGGGTTACTGGGGGCAGGACCAAGGAGCCCCAAAGCCCCCCCAGAGCATCACAGCTCGTTCTACTCCCTCTTGGAGGGGAAATAAGGCCCTGGCTCAATAAAGAATCCCAAATTAAAGGCTGTTCCTTGGGGGGGGTCACCCTGTTACCCCTCAGGAAGGAGTTTTATCCCAGCAGTGGGATTAAATTCCAATGGGAACCCAGTAATTCCCAGTGGGAACCCTCCCAGGAGCTCCAGCTGGGCTATTGGGGCACAAATGGGCAATTTGGGTGGGAAGGTTTCTGCATTTTGCAGGGTTCTGAATGTTACTGGTGGTACCTGCAAGGCCAGTAATGAGGGGGCACCTCATCTGTTCTGGGGGTCCCCAGGGGTGCTCCCCAAGTCCCCCCAAGAGCCAGCGTGTCCTGTCCCCCCCTTCACCCCCTGTGACCTCCCCCACTGCAGGAAACACCAAAAAGTGAAGCCAGGAGCGACCCTGCTCAGCCCAGCACCAGGGACACTCTGGGGCCAAGCCTGCAAATTCTGCAATGCCCCCCGGCCCCAGCCTCACATCCTGAGGGGGGGACACCCCTGTGGGGCACCTGGATCCCCTCAGGAGGCACCAACCCTGCAGTTCCAGCCCAGGCTGGAGAAGCCCAAGGTTTTCAGGCACAGTGGGTGCCACAGGAGGCAGCCCAGGGCTGCCCACCCTCACCCAGGACAGCTGACACCCCCTCCCACCGGTGGGCGTTTTGTTATTCATTTCTAAACAATAAACCACATTTTTCCTAAGTTAATTATGGCTCCAGCAGCCCTATAAAGCCAGGGGGGCTGGGGATGGAGACTCCCAACAGGCTCCTCAGGCCTGTTCTGCTGCTGGGAATGGGGTTTGGGGGCAGGATGGTGCTGGAGGCACCCAGGTGGGTGCCAGGGGTGGGTGCAGCCCTGACAGGACCCTGGGGGCACATCCAGCAGTGCTCTGTGGTTCAGGAGGGCAGTAAGAAAATTAAAATAAATAAATAAATAAAATCCCCATTTGAAACCTCTGTCCTAGGGAGGATAAAATCCATGTGTCCCCACTGAGAGCTGGGCTTTGCCAGGACCTGATGCTCCCTTGCAATGTGGGATGAGGGATGAGGTTTGGGCTGCTGAACAGCCCAGCCACAATCACAGTGCTCAGTCCTTGGGGCTGGAAAAGCCCTCTGGGATCATCCCAGCCCAGCAGCACCACAGTGCTTCCCCCTAAACCACATCCAGGCATTTACTGGGGTGCAAAGTGGTGCTGATGGAGCTCAGGGAGCTTCGCTGGGTGGGTTTGTAGTGTCCTGAGCAGGGTGAGCAGGGATTTCTGGAAGAGTTTTACTCATCATTAAACCAAGCCAGGGCAGCTTTTCCTCCTCTGGGCTCTCCTGGAGGCACAGCCACACCTGGCTCTGTGCTGCCCACGGGCTCAGGGTGCAGCACTGGGCCTCCAGATGGATCCAGAGCTCCAGCTCAGTGTCACTGCTGGCTGAGGGGGAAGAGGGCACGATGGGGACATGGATTAAGGGCATGTTACCATGCTGAGCCCACAGAACTTCTCTGATGGCTCCTAAGGCTGAGTTTGCTGCTTCCAGGGCTGGGGCTGAGCATCCCCACAGCTGGATTCACTCCTGGAGCTCCACAGGCTCACAATCCCAGCAGGTGATGGGGTGGAATTGGTGCTGTCCCAGGCTCCCTCTGCCCACAACCATCTCTGCAAATCCCTGCCTCAAATGAGGGTGAATCCCCTGGGGTTTCATCCCCCAGGGCTGCTGCTGCCCCTCTGCCAGGGAAACTGAGGCCAGGCAATGTGCAAGGCTGAGCTGTGGCAGGATTTGGTGTCGGGATCCTCTGCTGGAAGCAGGGACCAGAGAAAACCCCAGTGGTAACAGGACAGTGGTGTCAGAAACCCCAGTGGTAACAGCACAAAGGAAACCCCAGTGGTAACAGGACAGTGGTGTCAGAAACCCCAGCACAGAGCTGGGGGAGGGTTCAGTGAGTGGGACAGGGAAGGAAGGCACAGCCTGTGAGAAGCTGCTCCCCCCAGCAACAGACAGGGTGCAAGGTAAGACTAAAGCTGCTGGTGAGGGGCCTTGTACCCCTGGGGTTGGTGGGGACAAGGACATGAGATGAGGAACTCTCATCCCAGCCCAGCTCCAGGCAGCAGGGACAGGGACAGAGCCCAGGCACACTCAGAGCAGAGGTATCACCAAATATATATAATATATGTACAGCTCCTGCACCCCTCGTGGGGTGAAGGGAGGCCACCCCAGCCCCTCAGCCCCCACAGGCCCCCAAACCCCCCAGAGGGGCTGGGCAGGGCCAGCCTGGTGTCCCACCCAAGGACCCCACTCCCACACTGCCACCTGCTCCCCCTTGCTGGCTGGGGGGCACGAGAGGGGGGTGCCTCTGAAAGCATCACATGGGGTGGGCAGAGAGCCCCCCCAAACAGGAAACCCCCAGGGCACCCCCAGCTTTGGCATGAGCCTGGAAGGAGGCTCAGAGAGGGGCAGGATGTGGTCTCAGCTCCATCCTCTCCCCAAGCCCACCACAACAGCACAGCCACGCAGAAACCCCCCCAAAACCTCGCTGCCCTGCCCCGCGAGCCTCGAGCTCTCCAAGCAACCCATCCTGCCTCCCTGTGTCCATCACTGCAGCAGCTCCTCCCACGAGATGGGCCGGGAGAACACCTCCCTCTCCAGCCAGAGGTCGTAGTTGAGCTGGAAGTCCTCGGGCAGCTCCACCCTCTGGCCCAGCACGCTCTGCAGGCAGTTGTCCACCGGCACGAAGTCGGGGTTGCCGTGGGCTCGGTCGTAGCGCCGCGAGTTGAAGCGCTCGATGCTGGCACGCAGGGCACACTCCTCTGCCTGGAAATCCCAGGGACGGGCATCCAGGTCTGGGGACAGGGATGAGAGGGGTCAGAGCAGAGCTGGGGACTCCTCAGGCAGCCCAAAGGCCTCGGGGTGATGGTGTAACCCCAGCCCCATGCGGCTGCTGCTCATTCCCCCAGCAGCTGGAGCAGAGAAGAATCAGGAGGGCAAAAGCTGGAAAACTGCTGGGTTAGGATAAAGAATAATAAAGCTTTTGCTTCATAAAGAAAGCAAAAAATCTGTGCAGCACAAGGAATGAATTCCCCACTTCCCATGAGCAGGCAGGTGTTCAGCACCTTCAGGACAACAGGGCCCCACCCCAGGGAATGGTGGCTTGGATGACAAACACCATCACTCCCAACATCCCCCAATTGCTCCTTTTTCTCCCCACTTTGTATCCTGAGCATGGTGTTCTAGGGTCTGGAATATCCTTTGGTTCTGTCTCCTCCCAACAATCCACACACCCCCATGTGGGAAAGGCCTTTGTGGGTACTTAAACAAAGCACAGAGCCAGGAGCCACCAACAGCTCCACCACCACTTCCCACCACAGGGAAACAACCAAAGTGAAGCCAGGAATGGGGGCTCCCTTAGGCCCACTGGCCTCAGCACCAGGAAATGCTGGTACACCCCAAAGGACATTCCTGGGCCAAAACAAACCCCCAAAACTGCAATGCCACCCTGTCCCACCTCCCTCATTCTGATGGTGGGCAGGGGACACCCCTCTGGGGCACCTGGACCCCCCTCAGCCTCAAACCTGCTCTTCCAGCCCAATTTAGGCCAAAAAGAGTTTTCAGCCCAGACTTGACACCCCTGGCAGAGCCCTGATCTCTGCAATGTCACCACCCAAAATCCCTCCACACCCCAGACCTGCTGGACTGTGTCTGGATCAGCTGGAATTTGTTTTTTCCCACAGGAGCCCTGCTGAGCTTTGCAGTGGGACCTGGGAAGGTTCTGGGAGCCCACCAGTATTCTGGCTCTACCAGCACTGTCTCCCAACACTCCCACCCCATCAAGTGCATGCAAGTGGGCAAGATCCTGGGAGGGGACACAGGCCAGCTGATCCAAATTAGCCAAGGGAATATTCCAGATTCTGTGATGTCAGATCAGATATAAAAGCCAAGGAAAGGAGGAGGAATGATGGGGCATTTGTTATTTAAAACAGGTGCTGCAGCCTGGCCTCCCCAGAGTGCCTGAACATCACTTGCTGATGGGAAGTAGAGAACAAACCCATTTTTTTTTCTGCTCCTGC